TGGGATTGTTCTCTCTTCCAGCTGAGGCAGGTACCAACCACAACCTGGGGTGTGGTTCCAATTCCAGTGTCCTATCATAACCATTTTTATGTGAAATTAAACAGAAAATCTCAAAGAGCATTGCACTGTAGTAAGGGTAAATATTGTTGTGTGAAACTTTTGTTACACAATCTGTGCTGCGTCATCAGAACGGCAGTTGCACTCACAGTGGTTGCAGTCAAAAAAGCTCGAGATCCAGGAACAGATTCTGGACTCACCTGTGCTCTGTCCCTTACCTAGGTCCCCTGCCTGAGCCCTTCACCAATGGAGAGATACAGAAGGTAAGGGCGGATCCCCTGCCTGCTCCTCCAGCGCTCAATCCTGGGATTCAGAGACGGGTCAGAAGTGGGGGTGGTTGGGAGGACAGCCGTCCAGCGCAGAATGAAATTTTGGGGGCCCCAGTTCCAGCTCTAAGCTATTTAACCGCCTATGTACCCCATGGCCCCTGCCTAGGACCAACGCTGTCAGGAGGGAGAGGGCTGGCTGGGTCCCTCTGCAGCCCGCCATCCTGGGTGACAAGCCCCCGCCTCCAACTCCCCACCGTACAGAAGGGGCCATTCTTCCCCCCAAGAACAGAGCTTCAGTGTCTGGCCGCGGGCTGCTGGGCCCCTGCTACTTCCAGGGTTGGAAGAACAAAGCCCCTCCCCTCCTCCCTGGACAGAGGGAAGGGGGTGAGACCGGGGAAGAGATGATGGGGCTGGGCGCCAGCTAAAGCCACGGAGGAACCCAGGAAGGGGCTGAGTGCCAAGCTGATGCCCCAGCCAAAGGCTTCACTCTGGGACAAGCCAACTCAGGCCGCAGAGCAGCAGCTCTCTGCAGGATCTGCTGGAAGGTTTCCCTTCCCCAGGAGCTCCTACCAGAAGACCCGGCAAGGCGGGGAGGGTCTCTGAATCTTTTGTCACCCCATCTTTGGGTGTATGCTCTCCATCCACCTTGTTCCTTCAAGGGCCTGCTTGGCTGCTTTGGAGTTATTTTCAAGAATCCTGGGGTGAAGTCTAGGCACAGGCTGGTGGGCAGATTTTGGGAGTATCACCATGTTCCCCATGCCAAGCAGAGAGGCCCCTGGTGTCCCCAACTCCAAGAAGCCTCTCCTTGGTCACTGGCCCAAAAGGCTCTACTCAGTGCTTGGAGGCCACATTGGGGAACACAGGGGAGAGGGAGCAATTTCAGCTAATCCCACAATGGTCTGGGTCCCTGCTGTTGGGGTAGTGGAACCAGGCTGCCCCCTGATCCTTTAAGGAATGTAAAACAAATCTGGTGAGGAGCCCTGACAGACTCAGGCACCAGGGATTTGGGGTAGATGCCATGGCAAGTGGTACTTCTCAGACTGGACCAACCCCCTGCCTCGTGAGCTCCCTCTCTGAATAGGACTTCCCTGCCCCATCCCCTGCCAACCCACACCCCTCTTCTCTGTGCCAGGAGAACAGTCGTGAAACCCTGGCAGAGGCAGCCTCCGAGAGCCCCAGGCCAGCCCTGGCGAGATCCAACTCCAGCGATACCAGTGAGGAGGTAGGCTGGCTGGGCAGGGGGTGGTGACCGGTTACAGGAAGCTGATTCCCAGGCCCCTGTGTTCCTGGCACACCAGCCTGCCTTTGAAGTCACATGCTGAGCTGCATTCTGTTCTTGTGACCTGGCTTCCCTGGGCACAGCACCAGGGGAGCCACCTCACTGAGACTGAGGACCAGAGAGCCTCACCATGGACTGGCCCCCACCTCCTGCCTCCTCCTCCTCTTTACAGGCGAATTCCCAAGACAGCCCCAAGAAACATGACTCCACGGCGACCTCATCCACCTCCTCCGACCCCATTCTGGACTTCAACATCCCCCTGGCTGTGGCCAAAGAGCGGGCCCACCAGAAGCGCAGCAGCAAACGGGCCCCGCAGATGGACTGGAGCAAGAAAAACGAACTCTTCAGCAACCTCTGAGTGCCCTTCCGCCAGCCACCCACCCCGTCTCTTTCCCTCCTCCCCAGTCACCCCCCCGAATCGACGTAAGAATCAGCACCAGCATCTCCTTTCTTGACAACGAATCTGATTTTTCTAGAGAACTATGTTTTTCCCTTGCCTCACAGAAGGCAAATGTTTTTCTGTCCTGCCCCAATCAGAAAGCAGACTCTGTTCCCCTCCTCCTCACTGAGTGCTTGGTCCTACCAGGTGTGCCCTTGCCACCCTGCCTGGGACATCACTGGGACCTGCACCAAGCAAGGATCTCAGGACCAGGCGAGAGGGAAACTTCCCTCGTGAGCCCACATGATGGCTGGGTCCAGGGCTGATCAAGGAACTGATTGCAGCAACCATAGTGGACAGGGTGTCCATCATCCTGAGGGCTGTGGCTTAGGCATCTTATTTTCATTCATTTGATTTTTTTTTTAAAGAGTGCAGTTTTACAGCATCTAGACGGATTTTTGTTTCCTAGATTAACATGATTTTCCTCATTGTTGCATCCAGGGCATAGCAGTGGCCTCAGCCTTAAACTTTTGTTTCTACTCCCACTCTCAGAGACTTTGGCAGCCCGGGGACAGTTTGGCTTCCCCCGCCCATCCCTGAGCCAGGCACCACCATTGTAAAGAAACTCCTTCCGAAATGCAACTGGTTCCTCCAAACTGCGTTAGCCTCTGTGTCTTCCTTTGGAGCTTTGTTCTCTGGCATTGGACCCCTTCTAGGTGGAAAGTGAGAAAGGCAAAGGACGTGTTCCTAGGTCGCCTTTGACTAGGAAGGTGGGGTGTGGCTGGAGGGAGGACTAAGGTTTCCTGTGACCCCAAGCCCAGACAGCTTCAACACAGGCCCTGGAATGTGTAGCTGTGCAGGAACCAGTCCTGTGGCAGAGCAGGGACCCCCCCCCCCAGCCCTGTGACATCGGGCTGCAAGCACTGATATGGGCACAGGGGCCCCTTATGCAATAGTAGGGACATTTCCTGAGCCAAGTGGGAAGTGAGAGCTGAGACCCAGTGCTCTAATTCCAGGAGCGTGAATCTGGATTTGGAAGGTGAGGACTTGGCTTTGCTCTTTCCACCTGTAGCCACCAAGGTACAGGATTGGCTGAGCTGGCACCAGATACCCTATCTTATCTGGCCACTGACCTGATTGGAGGGCAGCTTGTCCAGTGCTAGGAGAAAACAAGCCTGTCCCCCGAGCCCCGGGATATCCAGTGCGGTCAGGTGGGGTGGAGGGCATTTTACAAGGGCAAAATGTCCTGCCCCTCTAAAAGAGACCCAAGACCCTCATACCTCTGCACCTGAGGCCACATCTTGGAGATCTGCCAGGGTGGCAAGAGCTGAGGCTGCAGGGCCTGGGGGTTCTAGGCTGGTGCTCATCAGGAAGGGAAATTGGCCCTGGGCTCCTTACTCTCCACCCACCCCACAGGGAGACCACTCAGAAGACTGGTTCCTAGACTGGGGGCAACAAGGGAGGGAGGAAGATAGCAAATCAGAGATGAGACTGGTGCCCTCAGGCCAGTCACTATCTGGCCATCTCCGGGCTCTTTGTTAGGGTTTGGATTCCACTAGCTAAGAGTAATGTTTAAAACCCTTATCTCAGCACCTATCGGCTGGTGCCCTGCTCAGCTGACGCTGGCCTGCCCTGGCCTTGCTTCTATACTTTGACCCCTGACTCTCACACAGGTGGAGCAGACCTGAGGATTACCCCACAGCGCTGCAGAGGGGCCCCTCCCTACCTCACCTGCTGGGTGGGGAGGCCCTGGGGGAACCTTTGACTCCTGATTAAGCTGAAGACAGGTGCAAGGAACAGGTGGCTCAGAGGGCACTCCCATCACTTAGGGGCTGGAGCAGAATCCAAAGGGAGCCTAGGCTAGTGAACTTTGTTGTAGATTGAGACATGAGACATGTTTTAGATTTCAGTTTTTCACATGCACAGCCTGGTGTGAGCCTGGATCCAGCCAGGATTGAGGGGGCCAGAAGCCTTGGGCTAGTCACCTTACTTATCTGGGACCAGTTCCCCCCACCTCAAATGCTCTACAAGCCACCTGCTGTGACTGTATTTTGAAAACATATCTGGCCTTCTTTTTTTTTTTGAGACAGAGTCTCGCTTTGTTGCCCAGGCTAGAGTGAGTGCCGTGGCGTCAGCCTAGCTCACAGCAACCTCAAACTCCTGGGCTCGAGTGATCCTTCTGCCTCAGCCTCCCGGGTAGCTGGGACTACAGGCATGCGCCACCATGCCCGGCTAATTTTTTTTTTTATATATATATCAGTTGGCCAATTAATTTCTTTCTATTTATAGTAGAGACGGGGTCTCGCTCTTGCTCAGGCTGGTTTTGAACTCCTGACCTTGAGCAATCCGCCCGCCTCGGCCTCCCAAGAGCTAGGATTACAGACGTGAGCCACAGCGCCCGGCCGACATATCTGGCCTTCTTGATGGCCACCCCAGATTATGACGGGGCATGGGGGACAGTTACGATCAAAGGGTATCCTCCCACATGAGGTGAGGTGGGGGACACCAGCCCAGTTCTTTACAAGCCATGGTGCCAGGCAGCCTGGCCACCCTGAGCCTGTGCCTCCGATGCCCTCGTGTGGCCTGGTCAGGTGCAGCTGCTCCCAAGGCAGAGGGTGAGGCGAGGGAGAGAGGGAGGGACAGCACGACCTGAAGGCTTCCTCTTCAGGGGGACACCACTGAGTGGCCTCCACTTCTTCCTGCAGCCCCCTGAGTTTCATCAACAGAGGGGTGTTCTCTAGTCACAAGGAGCTGCATCCAAAACTCACTCACTCTACACTCAAGACTGGCCCGACAGGGGGGGAAGAAAGGAGCAAGAACACTAATTAGAAGTTACTGGGCCTCTGAGCCACTGTCCTCCCAGGGTCAGGCTCCCAGGGGCACAGTGCCTGCACCTGCAGGACAAGAGGACTGACCTACCCCTGCCCCACCCCTACCCACAGGACCAGATACTATGAGCTTCTGGATATGACATCTGGATAGCTCTTCTCCACACCCACTGAATGGGAAAACAAGGAAAGCTGGCCATGCCATGTGCTTTACTCCCAGCCAGGTGGCGCCTCTGGCTTTTAAAGGGAAAGACCTGTCCCTTCCCCTGGCCGTCATCCAAGCCCCACTTCACCTCCAGCTCCCAACTCCACCCTGACCTCTCCCATGGATCCCTGCCATTCATTCCAGGTGTGTGAGTCCGGGTTTGGCCAGAAGGAAGACAGGGACTGGCACTGGAGTCTGCTCAGCCACACTGCCAGCCAGAGGGTGACCAAGGCAAGCCTGGCCGAGTCTGAAGGGCTCCAAAAGGTGGTTCCCAGCTTGGGACATGGCCAGTACTCCTGCTGCACTATCCATCGCAGGGCTCTCGTCTTCACAGCACTCACGGCGTGACCGCCCACAAGGCCCGCTGTCAGCAGGGCTCTGCTGACCCATCTCTGTAGGGCTGCTCTTCTACATGGCTGGTCTGCTCCAGAAGCCACTGCTGTACAGGCTCATTCATGATCAGTCTGAGCGTCACCTCCTGGAAGATGCTGCTCACAGCTACCTGCGTGAGCCAGAGAGAACAGAGCCTGCTAAGTTACAGTCCTAATGTCACCGGGCCCACTGCCCAGGCCTACGCCTCTCCCCAATAACATCCTTACTTGCTCAAAGTGAAGTTTCTGGAACATCCGGATGCTTGGTTCATTTCCCTGACCAATTTTAGCCTCAAACTTGGTCAGACCTAGTTTGGTCACTCCTCCCAGAGGAGATGAGAGAAAAGGCAAGCAGCAAGATGAAGCTTATCCCTGCTCACACCCCCATCCCTCCTATCCCAGGTTATAGGGGGAACCTGTTACCCCCCAACCCTCTGGCCTAAACAAGGCTCACCTGGGGCCTGGCCATGTCTCCCCAGGTTGTCTGCTCAGACTTTCTTACCATAAGACAGCATCATGAGAACAGCCTCAGTGCCAAGGCCCCTGCCCCTGCAGCTGGGCTCTAGGAGAAACAGCAGCAGCAGCTGACACCATGTGCCAGGCTCTCATGTGGCCCCCTGACAGCTACAATCTCATTTAATCCTCACAATTCTGTGAAGTTGGTACTATCATTACCATCCTGCAGGTGAGGACACAGAGGCACAGAGAAGTGAAACGACTCGCCCAAGGTCTCACAACTTGCAGCCCAGCAATCCAAAGCTGAACCCCATCCCCTCATGAGGACAGTCAGCAGCCCTCTGGGGGAAGCTGAGGTCCAAGAAGGATGCAGAAACAGGAAGGGCTCCTCTGATGGCATGGCGAGATGCTCCAGAGAAGACCATTTATTTTCAGAGGGTCCCCAGCCCACCCCAAGGAGGGGGCAGGCTATCTGAATTTTGAAGATCCCAAAACCAAAGGTTAGGTTCATACCTAAGCATAAGGAATAAACTGAGGAACCCATGAGTGAACCACTGGGCTGAAGGGGGCCAAGTGGGCTGTGTGCTCCAGCCAGGTACTGGGCTCACCCATGTGAGCCAGGGAGCTCTGTCAGTGCCCTATGCAGCCTCAGCAAATCTGAGGGCCAGGTGGAACACACCTGCAATCATAACCTCAATCTCCCCCACGGTGGGGTCTTCTAGATCCGTGAGGAAGAGGTTGACGTCTCCTGCCATGCAGCTCTCTTCCGTGACGCCTGGCTGGGCCTGCCACTTCTGTGCATCCAGCACAATGAAGGTGCACTCTAAGGGAGGAGGCAACAAGGTTGTCACCCACACTCCCCAGAGGGGAGAGATAAGGGTGGTGTTCCTACCCAAGCCAGAGAACTGCAGAACACCATCTTTTCTGAATCTCTTGAGCAGGAGAAAAGGGGGCCCAGAGCATCCTCCAGCTCATTACAAAGTTCCAAGTCTGCCTGGTGCCAGAAAAGATAGCCTCTCCAACAACCAAACTCTCCGAGAGCAGGGGACCCAGAGGAAGACAGCAACCACACTCCGCTGTGGTGAGGGAGGTGAGGGGCAGGGCCTACAGTTACAGCCAGAGCCCAAATGCTTTACTTTCTCTAAAGCCTTCCCAGCCTGGTACAGCAGGCAAGGCTTTGGTGGGCATGAGAATACAGGGATTCTGGCACCTTCCAGGCATTTCACAAAGCTTCTGTGGCCCCAGAAGGGCTGGGGCTCAGGTAAGAATGAGAGGGAATCTGGAGACTGCCTCTGGAGTCAGCCCTCCCACCACCAGGGCCGAGGCCTCTGCTCCTCACTGTCCGCATCTTCTCGCCAGCTGTGCTGCATGGCATACTCCTGCTCCAGGGTCAGTGGCTCTGAGGCTGTCAAACGCTGCAGTTCTTCTGATTTCATCCACTCATGGTACCTGCAGGGACAGAGGGGTGGCCTTGCAGGAGCAGCCTGTTGTAAATGCAGTGATTGACGATACAACCAAAGAGGTGGTGTATAGGGATTATACACCATGCAGGGATTATACAGACATGCAGGACTGATTCAGAGGCATGAGTCTGACACTTTATAAGATAAAGTAAAGGAGAGTAGGAAAGTGGACCCCACAGGACTAAAATGACGCTCACAGAAGACCCAAAGAAAGGGTTATGATTATTGCTAAGACAGAGGGCCACAGGCACAAGACCTAGAGACACGCTAGTCTTATAAGAAAATAGCAAGAGGGGTCAGTTCTGTCAGTTCATCTTCCCATCCTGTCTCAGGGGTCAGTGTGGAGGGAAGAGCAGTCTGAAATCAAACATTCCTCAAATTCCTGAGAGGAAGTATATGGCAATCCAACTCCAGCAAAGAAGACTGGGCAGATAGTTCCCCACAAAGGCAGGACACTAGGAACCCCCAAAAGGAAAACTGCAAAGTGAGGATACTCCCCTCCACCACCACTATCCTGAATTGCCAGACATTTGCCCACTGCCTGCACAAGAGTCCCATCCTGTGACTCAGTCCTGGCCTTTCAAACAGTAGACATCGCAACAACCCATCAGCTCAGAGTTTGGGGACAAGCTAACATTAAGTCTCCAAGAAATGGGCATCTTCACTGGCACCAAGGAAATGTCACTATTTTACAATTATTGAAAAAAATAATTCCCTGATGAAAGGCCAAAATGGAAGCTGAGAAGGTGAAAGGGAAGTCACAGTCCCCAGCTTCAGCTTTCTTTTAATTTCTCTTTTCACTTCCTCCATCCTTTTCTTCCTTCCATTCACGTATGTATGTATGTATTTGTTTATTTATTTATAGAGACAGGGTTTCCCTCTGTCACCCAGGCTGGAGTGCAGTGGCACCATCATGGCTTACTGTAACCTGAACTCCTGGGATCAAGCGATCCTCCTGCCTCAGTCTCCCAAGTAGTTGGGCTACTCCCTCCCTACCAGCTTTCTTTTTGTTTTTGTTTTTTTCCTGTATGTACAGTAATTAATTCTCACAACCAATGTTTCTTCTTCTCAGGGGAAACAGCTCCTGAGATTAGAGCTAAGGAAAGCTGACCCTCCTCACTGTGCCTTGGAGAGCTGGCTTACACAGCCCTGTGTGCAGCTACAACTGTACCCCATATCAGGCGGGAGAGATACCTGGGCACATGCTCTGAGGTGTAGGGTACAAGGACCACTTTCTTCCCCAGCAGCAAGGTGTTCTGATTCAATCTCATGGTAGCAGCCTGCAGGTAGGGAAAGCAAAGACTTCAAGACACTTGGGTGGAAGTTGGGCTGGGCCTAAGCTGACTTCCATCCTTCTTTCCTTCCAAACACTTTAGAGAACACCGATTCTAAAATACTTGCAAGAAAAAGAACCAAGCTGGTTAAGAATAATTAAACAATCTTTGACTCGCATCTCAAGGGGCCAAGCCTGGACTGCCGTTCCTGCCTGCCTCTTCCATCCACCCCACAAAGAACTTCAATTCTTCCAACCTAAGTACCAAGTACCAACACTTATCCCCAGTGCTCCCATCACTTGCCCCAGTCCAGAGATAAACCCAGGGTCAACTTTCAAACCTGCCTTAAACCTATTTCCAACCTCTCACCCCAGCGACCTCCCTAAGGGGCTCTAGCCACCCCCTCTTTCCCGCCCCCGACCACTTAAAAGTGAGGCAGGCTTAAATTCTTAGACCCCTCCCCTTTGCGTGGCGTTACAGGCTACTCTCCTGGACCCTCCAGCCACGGGGGCCTGGGTACTGCCGAGCTGGCACCCACCCACCGTCGGCGAAAGCATCCACCACAGAAACGGAGACCCACCTCTTCTAACCAGCCACGCTCCCAGCCAGCAGCCGCCCCTCCCGCATGCGCGTGGGAGCGCACCCGCCTACTTCCGCCACGCAGACGGCAGCCGCCAGGCCCCAATCCCGGTCCCGCCCCCGCGCGGCGCCCAATCAGCGCGCTGCGCCCCACCCGAGAAGCGCGGAGGAGGCGGGCTGCGATGCCGGCGCATGCGCGCTGTGGGCGCTGGTGCGGGACAGCTGGCGCCGGCAGCAGCTGAGGCGCCGGAGGCGGCGGAGGCGGCGGCGGCAGCGGCGGCCCGCCTGGAGTGAGCTGTGCTGCAGGTGTCGGGCCTGGCGGGATAGTCGGGGCGGGGTGGCGCCAGACTCAGGGCTCCTCCGGGAGGAAAGGAGAAGGAGAGGCTCTGAGTGGATCTCTTGAGAAGAGGGAGGTTTGAGGGTGGGGAACCCAAGGCAGGACTGAAGGCAGGTGGGGAACCGAGGCCTGGAGGCCCCGTTTAAAGGAGAGGCTTTGGGGCAAGGAATGGGTTGGAGGAGTGACGTAGGAAGCCCCCAGCTCCTTGCCATAGGCAAAGGACGCATGCAGTTCCTTGGGCTGCCCTGTGTGGTAGTGAGGTCATGGTTCCTGGAATTAAATGGGGATGGCCAACTCAGAGTGTGTAAAGGGGGCTCTTGTGGTGGGTGAAAGTTAGTGGCCCCTTAAATCACGTGGAGTCTGAGCAGCATTGACCATGTCCATGCCATGCACAGAGCAATGGACAGCAAGAGAAAAGCCCTGAACAGCAGGAGAAAAGTTGGAAGAAACCACCCAGATTTCCATCACCTTCCCTTGGGGCTGAGTCTTGTGACTAATAGTAAGGCTGTAACTGTCTGTGATAAAAGGACAAGGTGGGGGTGGGGGGAAAAATCTGCAGGCATCCCCGCACCTCTGTCTCAGTCCATCAGAAAGGTGAAGTCTGCTCTTTTGTCTTAGGGAGCCGCAGCAGCCGCCTCCACCCCAGCACAGAAGGATCCTCTGCTGCCAACCTTTCCTCACTTTTGGAAATGGCGGGTGAAATCACAGAGACTGGGGAGCTCTATTCTCCTTACGTGAGTTTTATTTACAGAACCTTTTGCTCTTGGCTTCTAGAGAAGCACACTGCTTCCCAGGGACAGTACTAGTGAGTGCTGCCGCTTGAGTAGACCCTGGGGCAGGATGAGGGAGCTCCCTGGAGCAGTAGCCACACTGATGCTATCATGGCTCAGAATGTAAAAGGCAGGCTTATTCCCTTTTGAGATATGTGTCAGAGAGGTCAAGCCAAACAAAATTGACTTACAAATGGTTTGTGTTATTTATCTCAGGGCTACTACCACTTGCATATGGTGCTGCCCTTTAAAGGAACAGTGATTGACAGCTGTTGCCTCTGGGCTTTGCTCATCTCAGCAGTTTGAAACCACTTTGGTCTTTAGCTGAATTTTAAATTGCACAACTTTTATAGTCTTGGATGGCGTAAGAGACAGTGAAAGCATACAGAGTCTTCAATTGCAGTTTGGTGGAATCTGCAGTCAGGATAATTAGAATGATTGATTTCTCACTGTCTTGGATCTCTGTTACCCTTCATCCTCACACACACATACTCAGTTTATCTTCTCTATGTATGATGTATGACTAGTCATTGTTGGTATATCACAGGGCCCTCTTGCCTGAATGAGTAGCAATAAGTAGCTGGAGGATTGGAATAATGAAATGATTGACTCACATTGCTAGCAGGTATCCCAGGGAAAAGCAACACTGCCCTAAGTAACAAGAGCCTTTTTTCTAGAACTTATTCTGCCTTAAACAGCTGCTCTGCTTTGCACATACCTTCCTAGCCTGGGGATCCCTGCTCTATAACAGCTGCTAGCCTCCTAGTATCAGCAATGAAATGGCCATGCTGTCTATAAAAGTCATAATTCCTGCTTTTTCTTACAACATCTGTAAACCTAGAAATAAGGAAATGAGCAGTTTCTTTAAGTTTTGGGAGGAAAACACTTTGATATGCCACCATTTCTTGTGTTGCTCAAGTTGTCATTTCACGTGTCAGCATGTGACCACAGGAAACCAGGCAGTTAGGCCTACAAGCTTCAGTGGGCACTGCTTTTTTTGCCTTTCATTTCCTATGTATTTTATTTTATTCACAGTCTTTGATTGAGTGCCAACTCTGGACGTAAACAGATGCTGGTGTTCTCTTATCCTACTGGTGAGACAGATGTAGGGGAAAGACAGGAAGTGATGGGGACGAGGTGGCATTAACCGAGGTGGTGATCTTTTCTTCCTAAGCATTCCTCAACTCCATCCTGGGAGAATGAGTCTTGATCCCCTGTGAAACGAGAAGAGTTTATTGTCCACTGAGCCCAGATAAACTGTGGAACTGACTTTTTTTTTTTTTTTTTTTTGAGACAGAGTCTCACTTTGTTGTCCAGGCTAGAGTGAGTGCTGTGGCGTCAGCCTAGCTCATAGCAACCTGAAACTCCTGGGCTCAAGTGATCCTCCTGCCTCAACCTCCCGAGTAGCTGGGACTACAGGCATGTGCCACCATGCCCGGCTAATTTTTTGTATATATATTTTTAGTTGGTCAATTAATTCTTTTCTATTTTTAGTAGAGATAGGGTCTCGCTCAGGCTGGTTTCGAACTCCTGACCTTGAGCAGTCTGCCTGCCTCAGCCTCCCAGAGTGCTAGGATTACATGTGTGAGCCCCTGCGCCCAACCTGTGGAACTGACTTGATTGCTGACGCTGCTCTGAATTCCCAGCAAGAACTAGGGTTCAGCACAGTGTAGGCAGAACTCTGTTCTGGCTGCCTTGAGAAACCAAGATACTGGGCATATAGTTCGTAAATGTGCATTCACCCAGGGTCATTCTGAAGATAGTCCTTAGCTCTACATTGTCCCCTTGTGAGTTCTTTTTCCCCTTCAGAAGTACCAAGGATGTTTGCTTTAGCTTGAATTATTCTGCATAAAATATTTGTAACAGACAGACAAGCCTCACAGGAGGCTCGGATACCATACCTTCCCAAGGATAGTGCTGAACAGGAACATGGTTCACACCTGTATATGTCCCCATAAGTGATCTCAGGACAGGCATGTCTGTTTCCCTAATTACAGGGACTAAGAGTGGCTCAGTTCTGAAGTGGTGGTTGTGTGATCAAAATACAGGATGAGGTGGATCACACCCGACAGAAGGGCCAGGTGCTGAGGGTGCCTGTGCTAACTGGTTCTTGCTGAAGATTGTTGTTGCTTTCGAAGGAAAGAGCACGTGTTTCACAGACTTACGTCCTAGTCATTGCTTCTGCATTACTGCTGTCTTCTGTTTCCCTTTGACAACAGTCAGAGAGGAAGCCGTGTGACCCCCGGCTCATGTACGTCATGGCGACACTGCTGGGTTGGAGGTGAGGCAGATGGGATGCCACACTGGGGTCCCTAGAGCATAAGGGAACAGATCCACAATCCCAAGGAGCAAGGGCTGTGCCTTCTCCAGCCCAGCCACAGAGGAGTTGAGAATTAGAGGAAATTCAGTTTAGCTCACAAGCAAAGGTCTTCTTTATTGAGACTGCGGTAGGGCCTTATTCCTCAGCCTTCTGCCACGCTTCCCAGGAGGCTGGCCCACAGAACTGTCCTGTAACCAGCAAGAGAATGTACCCTTACACTTCCTTCTCCACAACTCCTCTTGACGCAGCCTATGGCTTAGCTCAGGTTTGCTCCCTGCCTCTCTGTCCGCTCCTTGTGATCGATCATCCTTACTGGCTACCTTTACAGAAGAGAAAGGATTTAATGCTTGCAGGAATGCTGAAACCCTCAGAAGGCAAAGGAGTCCTACATTATGCTACAGGATTCCCTGAGCCCCAAGCACACTGTGCCTGTTTTAGAACTAAAAAAGAGCAACAAAGCTAGACAAATGTTATTACCCATTTCTGCTCCCAACTGCCAATGGTTTATCCCTAATCAACTTCTTCGTGAAGTTCTTAAGTGTTCCTTTCTGCTGACATTTATTTTAAGTTTCTGTTAGGAGCATGCTTATTTCATTGTGCCCCTGTCACAGCAGTGGTTTTCAACTGGTGGCGGTTTTGCTTTCCAGGGGACATTTGGTAAGATCAGGAGACATTTTTGACTGTCAAGACACCTTGATGGAGGGAGATTGTTACTAGAATTTAGTGGGAAAGGCCAGAGATGTTGCTAAACACCCTACAGTGCTCAGGATGGGCCCCTGGTCCCTACAACAAGGAATGATCTGGCCTCAAAGTGTGAACAGTGCCCAAGCTGAGAAGCCCTGATCTACAAGAGACCTTTGACTTTTACGTCAGACTTTGACAAGACCTTCTGACAAGGCATTCCTGAATTTACAAATGCCTCTTTTTTTTTTTTTTTTTTTTTGAGACAGAGTCTTGCTCTGTCACCCCAGGTAGAATGCAGTAGCATCATCATTGCTCACTGCAACCTCAAACTCCTGGGCTCAAGCAATCCTCCTGCCTCAGCCTTCCGGAGTGCTAGGATTACAGGTGTGAGCCACCACACCTGGTCTACAAATGCCTCTTGTACTATTTAATTTCCCCATAAAACTTTTGCGAACCATCACTTTCTTAAGCCTCTTTGCTTTCTCTACCTCCATCATGAAAACCATTGTTTTCCATAAAGAAACAAGGCTTTTATCCCTTCATTAGTGTTACTGCTTATAAAAGCAATAAGCAGAGAACAAAGCTACAGAGAGATCAGATGTTAAGTCATCAGCTAGGGTCTCTTTTGTTAGTGCCCTGTTTAAAACCCTGCAAAACATCAAACCCCCTCCCCAGAAGGGCTCTGTGTAATCTGACTCCAGCCTCTCTCAACCCCACCACTGCCTGGCTTGCTGTGCTCCTGCCACCCTGGCCTTCTGAAAGCTCCTTGGGCATACCCAGCTCTTTCCCACCTTCGACCTTTGTATCTGGAAGGCCCTTCCCTGACCCACTGCCTGGACAGCACCATCTCATCCTTCAGGTCCCGGCTTGAATGTCACCTCACGGCCTTTCTTGAGACTCTCTATTTAAAGTGCTTTTCCATTAATCTTTGTCTCTGCAGCCTAATTCTTTTCTTCGTAATGCCTCTCTCAAGCTGGAATTGTGGTTTGTTTTCTTGTTGTCTCTTTCTTCCTCCTTAAAATGTAGCTCTGTGAGGTCAAGGCCATGTCTATTGTTGTTCATCATTGTATCCCCAGCTCTGAGCACAGGGCCTGGCCCATGGAAGGCTCCAGTAGATGTTGAATAAATGAGTTGAAGGAGCAGAACTGAGCTAACTAGATGGCCCACTCCCACCCTTGTACACACTAGCCTTAAAGTGTCAGCGATTAAAATTAACCCCAGCAAAAGTACAAATGAGTTTGTTGTAGACATTCACAGTTACTGTGAAAACCCAAAACTGCTCATTCAGAAGGCCAGCGATGGGTTATGTGTCCTGTGTCTTGTGTCCCACCCAGCTGCTACCCTCAAAATTATTCTAGCAACACCACCCTGAGCCAGGATTCCCAGAGGGGAGTCATATCATGATAATGCCATGATCCCAATTTGGGATCAAACTGAGATTATGGTGTTTAAATCTGGACTAAGACTGGCAGACTCACGTCAGACATAACCTGAGCAGGGTCTGGTCACCTCAGTTGAGTATTCCTGTCTTGAGGCTGTGTGTCAGGCACCCAGCAAAAGGCAAAGAGAAGTGAGGCATAGACCACGGCCACAGCAAACCTCAGATTAGTAATGGGGAAAAGAGAAATACACCAACATCTGAAACCCAAGATAGGATATAAGAAGTGTTATCATTCCAAGGATTCAAAGGTGGGAGACAAGATGCATTTGGGAGCCTAGGAAGGGCTTTGTGGCAGAAGGAGCATTTGAATGGGCCATGAAGGCTGGGCAGGAATTGGGGGGCTGGGAGGTGACACCAGAGGGTGTGGCACCTGTGCCAAGTATACAGGTGCTATGGGCAGAGCGCTCTCCTCTCCACAGGGTGTCCTGCTTGTCCAACACTCCCATGCCCAGCCAGCACCTGCTGGGAAGCCTATCCCTCCCTAACCACTACCCAACCCCTCCTTCCCCCAGTCAAGGGCCCCAAGATGGACGTTGTTCGTCCCTATCTCTAGTTCTTCATGCTTTAAAAAACAATCTGACTGAGACTGGGAGAGTGGGCCTCAATTTGTGTGTTTCTAATCACAAATTCAGCACATGATTATCTTAGAAAAACTTGAAAATATAGAAAAGCACATCTTTCTAAGAATGGGAAGTGAAAATGAGAGACGGGTAGACGTTTCCAGAGATGATCTTTTTAATGATCAGAAACAGGTGGTGCAGCATACTGCGAGTACCCCAGTTTCACAGAGCACAGGGACAGCAGTTGGGAGCCCACTGTAATAGACCAGGCGTGGTTCATTTGACTTGTAAATGAGGACAGGAGCCAGAGTTAGCCACAAACGACTCTTCAGAAATAAAATCACTAGCGCTGGGATATGGAGGGGGAGGAAGGAGGCTGGGGCCACTGGCAGAATGTCCAAGTGGAGGTGACTAGCAGGCACTTGGACTTGAGGTCTGCAGAAAGGTTAATACTAAGAGAAACACACCCGTCCTTTGTCCAGCTGTGATAGTTAAAGCCATAGGGTTGGACTAAGTTGCTAAGGGAAAGACGTATATAGAGAAAAAGAGACAGCAAAGGTCAGAAGCATGAAAAAGAGAATAAAGACTAAGCATTGGATTTGGCAAACAGGAGGTCACTGGTGATTTTTAAGGGTGCAGGCTCTTAAAAGGTGGGATGGAAACCACCTAGTATAGGAACTTGGAAAATAAGCCAGAAGAGATAGATTGTTTCTTCAGTGAGTTTGGTAAAGCGAAAGTGAGAGAGTAATATTTTAAAAGTGTCTAGGAAGCTTGTCAGCAGAGAGGAGAAGCCGGTGGGAAAAGAGAATTCCAGAAGGCCGAGATGAGCCCAGAGATCAGGTGAAGGCCATAGCCTCAGCAAGCAGGAGGAACGTGTTCTGCAGAGACAGGCAGGAAGGAGGGTAGGGAGGAGGCAGACACTGATTCTTTGAGATAGGAAAGTGTGAGGCTTGGGGAGCACATATCAGATGGCTTCAGCCAATTCCATGCAGTAGGAGATGGAGCTGTCATCCGAGAGTGGTCCCCACCAAGGGATCTGGGGGCTTGAAGAATGAGGTTGGAGCAGTTACTGTGGGAAATGCTAGGAAATCCATGTCGAGAAATAAAGAAAATCTGATGCTGTCAGACCCCAGGTGAAGGAACCACTCATTTGTTGCGGGATCAATCATGATAATTCCTCAGAGAGTGGAGGAAGCAGGTGCTGGGCCTCATCCAAGGCTGGGGCTTAGACAGGTTGGGACAGAGAAGAGGAGATGAGGGGAGCTGGGGCGGCACATGCTTCATGGAGCTAGCGGATTGCACTGGGAGAAGATGCCAGGCAAGCAGGGGTGGGTGGGCAGAGGAGGTGGGGGGATGGGAAGCATCCTGGAAGGGTAGGGGTTCGGGTCAGAGAAGAATTCCATGATTGAGATCTTGAAAAAGGAGCCATTTTAATTGACTGAGCTAGACGAGGTGTTTGGTGTGGGGTTAGGTTTAAAACCTGAAGTTAACTGACCCGACAAGTCACCCTGAGGTTGCCCGAGGTCGGTTGCCGTGGGCAAATGGGGAGGGGAAGTGGTTGCTAACTTGGCAGTGATAAAATGGAATTAGATGGTGCTGCTGGTTGCACAACCTCTGAGTATAACTAAAACCCACAGATTTGTGTATTCTTGAAAGGGTGAATTTCATGGTATGTGAATTATAACTCAATTAAAAAAAAAACCAGGCCGGGCGTGGTGGCTCACGCCTGTAATCCTAGCTCTCTGGGAGGCGGAGGCGGAGGCGGGCGGATTGCTCGAGGTCAGGAGTTCGAAACCAGCCTGAGCAAGAGCAAGACCCCGTCTCTACTATAAAATAGAAAGAAATTAATTGGCCAACTAATATATACAAAAAATTAGCCGGGCATGGTGGCGAATGCCTGTAGTCCCAGCTACTTGGGAGGCTGAGGCAGGAGGATTGCTTGAGCCAGGAGTTTGAGGTTGCTGTGAGCTAGGCTGACGCTATGGCACTCACTCTAGCCTGGGCAACAAAGCGAGACTCTGTCTCAAAAAAAAAAAAAAACAAAAAAAAACCAAAAACACTGAAGTTGGTGTGGAGAGGGGGTGGGGTATGCGAAACATGAATATTGATGTCCCAAAGGACAATAGCAAGGACTGGTGGAGAGGAGGCTTGAGTCACGTGCTCAACGGTCTTGAAATTTGCATGTTTCTTTGAGGTCATTGTTCCGTATTTGTCCTTGTGCCCCACCCGTGATTTCTGCCCTCAGGAATCCTACGGTCTAGTTGGGCAGAACACCAGCATCAGTGACGCAGCTTTAGGAGGGAATGGCAATGGTGACAGCAGGAATGGAGACTAAAACTGATTGTCCGAGGCGTTCCGAAAAGACTCGATAGAAGGAGGGTCTTTAATCATCCAGGTGTTAGTTTGGTCAACGCCTGGTTGCAGAGCCTGGCTCCTTAGGACCCAGGTGGGATTCTCCCTGCCTGCTTCCCTGTCTAAAGTGTGGGCTCTGGACTCCACGGTTGCGCTGTCACCCAGGCTCATCCTTGGGAGCTGTTGTGGGGAGAGGTTAGTTATGTTCTGGACTTGAATGTCATCTCTTGTCGGTTCCAGGTTGGGCTGGTGTACATGTTCAACCTCATCGTGGGCACAGGTGCGCTCACCATGCCCAAGGCCTTCGCCACTGCCGGGTGGCTTGTCAGCCTCATCCTGCTGGTGTTCCTGGGCTTCATGAGGTGAGAGGGCGTGGTAGGCACTGTCCCATGGGGGCTGGGAGTGGAGCAGGATGGCGTCTGCCCAGGAAGCCCGAACTTCTGAATTAACGTGAAGGGGCTGAGGGGTGGGAAGGTGTCTGTCTACCCTGTCTTTAGCTCAGTGAATCCTAATTAGGGTTCCCGGAGAGAGGAAAGTAGTTACAAAGGTCTCCCAGTGTCTCATGCTAATGGAGCAGTTGTGCAACCATGATCAGTTAAAAATTAAGACATCCAGGTAGGCTTTGGAATGTGTCACATGCTGCTGACATGTTTCTTCCCTAGCAGATTTGCCTCCCCTGCTGTTTACTTTATTAATGTTGCCATCAGTTTTTACTCTCTGAGAAAATATCACCTAGCTACAGAAGAAGGATCTAACAAAGATTTAAGGTGATGTGGGAAATCAGCTTGGAATTTAGAATTTGCTCAAGATAATTCACAAACTAGGTGATAAACGCACACGTTCGCACACAATCAGGCATCAAGTTCACCTGCTTTGTCCCCACCAAAAAAAAAAAAAAAAACTCAGGAACACCTGCTCCTTGAGCCAGGTGTGTGGGCTTCGCCAGCTGGTGCTGCAGAAGAGGGTAAGTTCTACTCGACACATTCCACACATAGCCATGAGGTCATTCAGGAGTGCTCCAGGCTAGGAAGGGATTTAGGACTAGGCCTTCCAGGCCCTCCACCTAGCAGGAATCCACAAGCTGCAGAATAGAAGTGGGTGTGCCCTGTGCTCACACCTGGACAGCCACTGCACTCCCGCCTGGCAGCATAGTGAGACCCCGCCACAAAAAATAAAATTTAAAAAATATAAATTTTTTTTTTAATGTAAAGAAAAGGAGAAGGAGCACTTAGAAACACCCTCAAGGAGTACCTCCCCTTGAGAGGTGACACCCCGTCTCTGTGTGCCAGGCACCATTCTAGGTGCAGCCAGTGCTTTGCCAAACTAAACATTGATCCCTATCCTCGAAGACTTTTTATTAAATATTTTGTGGGGAGACAGTAAATAGTGAAGATAGTCAATGAGGAAATTGTAGAATGAGTTGGAAGGTGATGAGTAATTGGAAAAAAGGCAGACGTAGCAGAGTGAGGGGTTGGGAAGGTGGGGTGACTGCAGTTTTAAGCAGGATGGCCAGTGGTCACAGAGGACCATGTTAAGTCAAGATTTGAAGGGGAAGAGGTAGATGCCATTGAGAGGATGAGACAGATCTTAGTAGTTGAAGCAAACTAAGACCTAGAAGAAGCTAAATGGGATCAGAAAACACCTGTGTTTTTCAGTTTCTTCATGCGTTTCTTTTGGAGGGCTCTAGGGTGAGCCTTGGGGTACTATTGTCTCATTACATCCTGTAAGCCCTGGCTGCCAGGAGCTCTAGAAGTCCTTGTCCTTAGGTGGCTCTACTGTCCCCTTTAAAGGACCTTCAGTGCAGGCAGCCATCCGAATGGGAAGTGATTATTGGGGGCCCCCAGGTGGGGGCTGCCACGCCTGCTCCATGCTCAACCCATTTATGCTTGAGCGTGATCAATGAGTTGGCCTTGTGCAACCATGAGAAGTCTTTTTATTGCTTAATTAAGATTGATTTTAGCTTTACTTCCAAAAAGAAGGGTAAATCTAAAGCCCTTAAAGTGGTCACTCAGGCAAGATAATGAGACACCCTTCTAGGAGGTGCTGAGGCGAATGAAATGGGAGTTTCAGGGCTGGCTGACCCTCAGAGGGGGAGTGGGTGTGGGTTTCACTGCTGTGGGGCTCAGCAGCTCCTCTTCCACCTGCCACCTGACCTTGGGGCCGAGCAATCAGCCTGCTGGCCATTGTCACCACTCAGGGAGGGCACAGGGGCAAGTCAGGTGGCAGGCCTGTGCTGTCCTCAAGAAAGAGGGAGATGAACGTCCATTCCACGTTTTTTCATGGCAGGGATAAGTTCATACGTCAGGTTTTAGTAGTAGGAAGGCAGCCTGCCCCTGTATCTTCTATTAACAAAAGCATTTGTAGACTCTAGTTGTCATCTAGGTCTCTCGAGTTTTTTTAAGAAGAAAGGAAAAGATGATTTTTCTACTCTAATCTGACTTTTTGGCAAGTATCTGATGCCACCTTCCAATCTTCTTTTTGATTCAGGCCACAGAAACGCAAGCTTATTTTAACATTAGCCAGATTATTCAAAAAGTAAAAAGTATTGCCAAAGAAAAAAGGGGTGGATTCCGGAGCCAAGTACCCATTTTCAATTTTCCATGCCTGTGCTCCTTCCATTAGTGTTTGTAATTGGGAGGTGACCGCTTGTCTGTGTCCTAGCAAGGAGAGGTGGAAACTGCCTGCTGTCCTTCCGCAGCTGTGGGAGGGCCCCTTTGTCATTCAGCGTCTGCCCCAAGCAGGCCTTTCTGCGTCTCAGTGCTGCCAGTCCTACGCCACCTCTGCCCCCACTCGCACTCTCCCGCAAATGGTCTCCCTCAAATCACTTATTTTTCACCCCCTCCCTCATGCATTGGAAATACATTCTAACTGCAGGGAGGGACGTCTCCTCGAGGACACAGGCACCGGGTATGCACACTTACACTTTTTGTTTAACCAGGTGAGACCCATCTCGAAAGTTCTCTAGGGAACAGCTCTCAGAAAAGAGAACAGTCTGGTCTTAAAATGCCTTTTCCTTTCTCCTCCAACCTCCTCCCTGCCTTCGGTGATTGACGTGTGGGCCCCTTTCAGCTTCATGACCACCACCTTCGTGATGGAGGCCATGGCAGCAGCCAATGCACAGCTCCGCTGGAAGAGGATGGAAAACCACAAGGTGTGTGTGTTGTCCTTGTCTCCGGGCAGCGCCTCTGCTCAGCCATGCCCAGGAGGCAGTCTCAGCGGCCCGTTGCTTTCCTCCCAGTGCATGGGGGCTCTGTCCACAGTGCTGCTCCGGGGGCCAGGCCCAGAGCTGAGGCTTAATGGCCAGAACAAATGCTTTGACATCGAGGCCTTGGTCCCTCACACCCCCACCATGGCTAGCTCAGTCTTCCAAACCTTTGTAGCCAGGAACTGTGCTGCCACTTCTTCCTGAGCGTGTTTTCACCTTCTCATGTGACAGCATAGACGCACTGAGAGCTTCCTAATCCAGATACCTTCTAGAAAGAAAGAGCAAAGGAAGTGCGTTCGCCGTTGTCCCAGGGGTCTGCTGTAGAGTTACATACTCCTTCTTTTTCCTTGTTTTTTCCTCCTCCTCCTCCTCTTCCTCATCCATCCCACCACCTCCCAGGAAGAGGAAGAAGACGACTCCTCCACAGGCTCAGACAGTGACGTTCTCATCCAGGACAGCTATGAGCGGGCAGAGAAACGGCCCATCCTGTCTGTGCGTAAGTCTTGGGATTCTGGGCTGGCCCACACTTCCCTCTGGTCCACAGGGTGTCCTTTCTTTGAGGAGAGGGCCCCGGGGAATCTCCCCGCAGACGTCTTCCGGCACTTCCTACCTACGGGTTACTTCCTATGTAGGCACTATGGCAGAGTGAAAAGGGCACAGGCCTGGCCCCTGCTGGCTCTGCCACTTACTAATGTTTGCAGCTTGGTAAGCACCTTGACTTCTGTGCCTCAGTTTCCCCCTTCTCCTACTGTTACTGAAATGATTAAGTGCCTAATTCCGTGCCTGGTGCACCCTGGAAGCTTGAGAACATGTTGGCTTCTCTTCTTCCTCCCACCCCATCCCCTGCCTCGCTGTCTCATCCCTGGTCTGGCTGGGCCCAGGCTCAGAGCCCCCACTGTCCTCCTCACCCCACAAGGAGCATCCCCTACTCCCTTTAAAAATATAGAGTATTTTAAACTGTTGCAAGCAGGAAACATTAGAAGTTTTCACAAGCTTGAGATGCTTGGGATTTCATTAATCTGGAGAATGCAGTGAGCTCAACACCCTCTAGAAACTCTTCCGAGTAAAAGAACCACTTCCTCTTCCTTGTTCTTTTGGCTCCACAGAGAGACGCGGATCTCCCAACCTTTTTGAAATCACAGACCGGGTGGAAATGGGCCAGATGGCCTCCATGTTCTTCAATAAAGGTAGAAGTTCTTTCTGTGGTGGGGCATGGGGGAACGAGGGAGCTGACACTTCCCTGCAGACCTGGGCCCTTGTGACGAGGGCTCCACCTTAATGACTAGGCAGTGGGAGGAGCACATTGCCAGCTGCCCCAAAGCACCTGAGAAGCCACCTTGCTGCAGGCCTGTTGTTTTCCCTGTCTGCCCACCAGCACCAAGAATAAAGAAATGGCTACTCCAGCTGAGTTAGGGATCCTAGGCAGCTTTCCAACGAAGGAGGTGGTGGAGGCTGGTGGATGGCTTCATGCCCCTTGCTTGATTGCATCTGACCTTGCTGTCTTCTGGCCCACTCTGTCCAGGACAGCCCCTCTGACGGTAATAGGGTCTGTTACTCGCACACCTGGGCATGTCTGCCCAGTGGCCAGCAGAGGGCGCCGGGAGCCCACGCCCAGGCTTGCCCTGTGGGTCTCTGAGCACCCTGGAGTCTGGCAGTGAACCTGCCCCTTACTGGGATTTGGCTGCAACCTAAAGGGATCCACCCAACTCAGGTGTTGGGTTCTTGGGACCTTCCAGGGACAACATCTTAAACCTCCACGACAAATCTTGTTCTTTTGGAAGATGAGCTCTTTAAGAGCTTAGTTTTTAATTCCCAAACCTGTTGGTTTCCTCTTTATTGAAAGTCAGACACGTTCTCAATAAACCCTTCCCCTGCAGCAATCTTGGAGGATTTCTGCCTCTTTGTTAAAGCCCCTGTTTGCCAAGGAGGCTGTCCCTACTGGTTCTTTCCAGTTTTGAATGTGGCTGCACTTAACTTAGTGCTTTCAGGGGGGCGGCGGTTGATGTAGAAATTAGAATCTTCTTGACTGCTTTGTAGGACGTTAAAGTGTTCAGTTTGTCATTGGCAGTGCAACGTGACTGTCTGTCCAGAAGATCGTGGTTATCAGCCAAAGTTTGCCCGAGGGCCTGGTTCCACCTTCCCCACTGGCCCGGCCTCACCGAGAGGGTTTTCAGAATTCATCGAAACCAAATGGTTATGTTCAGCCCACATCTGTGCTGTTCCTTTGTTCCATTTCTATCACTCCCGTCTCACCAGCCTAAGGGAGCATAAGCGTTTCCTCCTGGCAGCCACACAAAGTCCCCTTCCAAATACAAGCTTTTAAAATAAAATGCACGTTGGGGGAGAACATATACCTTTTAAACCTCCTTTCTCATTTTCATGTTCTGCATCCTGCCCTGGTTTCTGTCAGAATTCTAGGAACCAGTGGTTTAGTTTTGCCTTTTTTTCCTCCCCACAGACTAGACACCTAATTTACCCAAATCTAATAGGAAACAAACAGATTGATGTGAGAGCAGCCTCATGTGTAGAGAGAGCCGCCTCCTCTCTCCCCCTAGAGTCTCTCAAACTCACCGCTGTTGACGTTTGGGCCAGATCATTCTTTGTTGTGGGCCCATCCTGTGCATTGAAGGACACCGAATAGCATCCCTGGCCTCTGCCCACTAGTTGCCGGGAGCACCCCCTAGTTATGACAATCAAAATTGTCCTCACATGTTGCCATGTGTTCCCAGTAGGAGGTGGGTGGCAAAATCACTCCTAGTTGAAACCACTGTTCTGCTCTTTTCCTAAGCCCCAGACTGCCAGAGTGTCATCTTCACCTTGGCCAGGGCTGTCACCCTCCACGGAAGGCTCCCTTGGGGCCCCGGCTCGTTTCTTGTCATTGGAAATATCAGGCCTAGCCATTGGTGTCCTCTCAGGAAGTTCATTGATCCTCTCATTTTGTGTCTATTAATGAAATTTATTGATCAGGGAAGGCCAATGGCAAACAGAGCCAACACTGGAGTCCATCGGCAGGTGGAGGAACAGTTGAGAGTGGGGAGGGGACACTGCCTCCTCACAGAGAGCATTGGCATCAGAGCAGATAAGGCAAGCTGGAGCATGGGCTGTACCTGGAGCCTGGGGCAGGAGTGACAGGCAGACCCCAGGGGCTGTTGCGCTCGGATGTCGAGGCTGTCTCTGATGTGCTGACTGCTGTGTTCAAAAAGCGAGCACCTGGGTCCTCTCGAGAATCATGCTTTCCTAGTCTTTCCCCCCCAGACTCCTAGGAGCAGAGCTGACCTCACACAGCCCAGGAGTAACATGTCCTAGGCTTTCCCCTGGGGACCCTGCAGGCTTTTCTGAGCCACCAGGATTAGAAGGCAACTGTCACTTCATTTTTCTTTACGTTCTCAGAAAAGCCAGCAGCTTGAGACCAGTGACATAAAAACTTGAGCAATCAGTCTGAATAAGAGTTTGAAACTGGCTGTCTGGAGCCATAACTCTTAGGTTGTAGAGTCCTGGCCGCTTTTTTCAGAGCTTTTCACCCAACGTTTATAGCTGGAACCATAGCACAGGTGGGATTCTTCTCACCGTACGGGATACGGCACGTTCAGAGTCTTGCTGGGATCATGAAACAAGTGACAGAATTAGGTCTAGAGCCCTGTGTTCCCTAGTCCTAGTTGAGGGGCAAATGGGACAAATGTCTGCCTCTGCAGAAGGAGCTTCAAAGTCATGCACCTGCCAGAGCGAGCACTGTCCCTTGCAAACACTCCCTGTAAGAAGCTAGGAGTCTGTCCTGAGCGCCATCTCTCCCGAGCACACTGGGCCACCCTAGGCCACCCGGTGTTTGGTGATCAATCAGATTCAGAATGAGGCCCTTGGTCTTTGGAAATCAAGGGCTTTTTACCCTCTGGATCTCAGCTTTGGCGAGCCCAGCCATTTCCTGTCAACTTCTCTTTGCTTCATTTCATCCGTAGCGATCTCGTCTTAGAGCCCTATGTTGGCTGCAGAGGGGACCCCTGGCCCCCACACACTCTGGGGTTCAGGCTCCTGACCCAGGGCAGCTCTGCTCCCCTCACCCACAGCGTGTCCTGAGAGTGAAGGCACCTCTGGTCCCTCCCCAGCCAGGCCACGCCATGCCACACACTCACCTTGTGCCTGTCTGGATTTGAAATCCCTGTGGTCCTCCGAGCGGCTCTGAGTCCTCTCAGGTGAAAGTCATGAGCTGATGTGTCTCCTGTCAGCATGACCGGGTAGCTAGCCGGAACAAGAAATAGGACTTTGGGGTCATTTTCCCACTTTGTAGAAAGTAAACCACTTGGAGAAGCTATGGAAGAGGTAGAGATTTAGTCATCAAGAAAGAATCAGACATCTCTTTCTGGCTCTCTGACTGATGGTTTTGTTCCTTTCAGTGGGGGTGAACCTGTTCTATTTCTGCATCATCATTTACCTGTATGGGGACCTGGCCATCTATGCTGCGGCTGTGCCCTTCTCCCTCATGCAGGTGACCTGGTGAGTATCCCCCTCACCCCCACGCTGGCTGTGGTCAGATTGACTTCCTTGGCCAGTCAGGGGAGAAGCAGGGTACCAAGCGAGTCCATCAGTGTCTAAGAAATGTAGACACCCGAGGCCCCTCTCTACACAGACCACCACCAGCTGTGCCTCTGTCCCCTACCCTGCCCCATTGGGAAGACAGCTAGAGTTTCCATGCAGGGCTCCTGAGTCATCGGGAAATGGTGCAACAGGAACAGGTGGGGTGCATCCTAAAGCATGTGTCCTGAAGTGTGGTTTTGAAAAGTCAGATTGTTGGCACTAAACGCAGCTGTGCAGGCAGTGGCTCTGTCTCCCTCAGCTGAGCGGGGTGGCCACACCGAGCCCAGGTCTGCCATGGTTCTCTCTATCAGCAGTGCCATTGGCAACGACTCCTGCGGCGTGGAGGCAGACACCAAATACAACGACACCGACCGGTGCTGGGGGCCCCTGCGTCGAGTGGACGCCTACCGCATCTACTTGGTGAGTGTCCCCACCTCTGCTCCCCCGCCCAGCCTGGGTGGCCAGGACATTTGAACCACCTTCACTTCCTGGTAGACCCTTTCCCCAGAGAGGAAGCTCTGTACACCTCCACAATCTGGCTAATCACTGGGGCCTTGGCCCCAGGGAGAAATGGATCATGTCACTTAGACTCTAGCCCCAGCGGGTCCTGACAACCAGGCCTCAAAGTCACATGTGGTTTGGAGTTGGCATTGGGGTCATTGCCAGCTCCAGGGCCGTGACCTGTTGTAAACTTAGCTCAGGCTTTGAAGGGCACTCTTAGTAGAGTTCTTTAAGAGTGTCAGATCTCAGTTTCCAGAGACTTCCCATGTTTCCTTCCACCTTAGTCCTGGCCAGCCCAAGTGTGTATAGTTAGATGTGGGGTCTCCTGACTGGGCAGGAAGGCATCGGCCATCCCACAGGTGACCCTGCCCATAAACAAGCTCTCCAGACAGGGAAGGATCAGCCCGGCTATTTTCCTGTCTTCCCTTCTCCAGTGGACAGGAGATGATGAATCTCCAGGCTTGTTCTGATTGCTTTGTGCCATTGGAGGGAGGGGCTGGGCCAAATAATACACCAGATGGGTCTTAGATAATAAGATACAAAACAGAGGCAGGACTCAGGGATGTTTTCCTCTAACTTATGCTCTGTCTGTTAATATTGCCTGCTTCCTTTTCATCTCCTCGGTCTGATACAGAGTTGGGTGTGCTGGGTGACACAGTGTGACAAGTGGCCACTTAGCTGATTTGTGAGGGGAAGGCAGGGGCCAGGAGAGAGCCAGGCTTTTTGGGGACCTGGCTTCTGGGCTTAATCATCCCTATCCTTGCAAAGGTTTCCACGGGCCCTGCCAGCTGTGTTGAGTCTGGATTTGTTAACCCCAAGGGCCACTGAATGGTTTTTGTGGGGGTTTTTTTATTTGTTTGTTTGTTTGCCTTCCCAGTCCCACCCTATAGACCTACTGAAGGAGCCCTGTACCTAGGTGATGGGTGAGACTAGTTTTCCTCCCTGCATCTCTGGAGCAGTTGGATGATGGTCCCTGCTGCTTCTCTTGCACATTCAGCTGTGCCTGGGAATTTGCCTTTTAGTAGAATTATGTCCTCAGTTCCCCCATTGTAGGTCCAGTGAGAATTTGGTAGCAAGTTAATTGCCTCGTCCCCATCTCTGCCTCCCCAGCCTTGGGGTGGGCAAAGGAACCAAGAGCCAAGGCACCGGCAGCACAGCTGAAGCCTCATTAGCCTCTTAGCATTTCAGCAAACCGTGATTGATCAAATTAGCAAAAGTATTAGTAAGTGTAAGGCCCCATCTGGATTTCTCACCAGGCAGGTGGGGCGAAGCAGGGGACAGAGGAAAGGATCTGAGCAGCTTGACACAGACACGGGAGTACGTCCAGGGCAGAGCTGCTCCGGTGCTGCCGGAGTCTGCGTGGACCCGCCTGGCACGCTTCCCCCGCCCACCAGCAAGATAGATACTGAGCGCTGGGAATATTGGCTGCTGCCATTTGCCTGGTAAATTATTTAGAAGCATTATTCTTGCCTAGTTAAATTGTTCCTGCACTTACTCTTATAAACTTTCTACATGATGAAAGTCTCCCTTCCTGAATCTCAATAACTCTCTGACCGAACAGAAGGAAGCCTTCGGGAAAGCAGACGGGCATTAATTACTGCCTTCATCGCCCAGATATTGCACTTATAACTCAGAGCTAATTGCCACCAGAGCCTGCAAATGCTGCAGAACAGGAGCAGGGACCTGGGCTGCCCCACGAGAGCCTGTTCTCTCTGGGCCAGTGACTCCTTCCCCATACCCCAGTTCACTGCTGGGGGCTGCCGTTTGCTCAGGCAGGTGGCTTTTGGTGTGCACGTGCTCTTCTACCCAGTTTGGAGGAATCCAAGATGGATAAGACTTGACATCGTCTCTGAAGTCACTTTACAGCTTCTCATGTGACTCTCAGGGGCTGAGGTTCTGTAGAACAGCAGAGCCTCCAGCCCCTGGACATGGTGCTCTCAGCGCTCTGCAGTGAGTTGGAAGGGGTTAGCAGTCTCGAACCCTCTTGTCAGGGATGATGGCATCTTCCCCTCCTGAGACTGCCCTGCAAGGCTTGTCCCTGTTGTCTTCATAAATGTCAGGAGAGCTGGATGCTATCAGGTGGCCTCTTCGGCCCCTTGAGGGAGGAGGGCCATCCTTTCCCCTTGCATCCTAGTCATTCAGGTTCAGGAGATTGTCCATCCCTTCTAGAGACTCTGCTGTGCCTCTCACCACCAGCAGTTTCTGATTTTGCTGCCAGCCAGACTTCACTCAAAACAGTCGGCAAGGCAGTGAGCATGTGGGGGGTGCAGGTCTAGAGCACCTGCCTGCCCCATTCACAGATGGTCTCTGTTTCCCGTGGATGATGCCCTTACCCGGCCCCATTTTTAAAAGGTCCTGGTGATACTCACTTCTTCATTGCTATTCTGGGACAGTGTGTTCTGGGGGATAAAGATACAGGCTTTTGTATTGCGGTCTAATTTTCAGAAAGTCCTCTGGAAACAAGCTCTTCTGTTTCTTCCCGGGAGCACTCCTGAGATGCGCACACACAATGGGAGTATTTGGTGTAGTAGCTGTCCCCAGAGGCCGGCCGGTGTGTAGTGTTGTGATTGCATACAAGAAGGGAGCTTTCTCTACCAGCAGCTACCAGTCGCCTCCTCAAGCCCTTGACCTTAACAAATGGAAAATTCCTCCTCCCCTCCTCGTACCCTGCGACCCCCATACACGTGCTGTGATTCCCAGCGCAGCTGATATGAGTCAGTTTCTCCCTCTCCTTCCATGGTGTTGCCACAGCGCAGGGTGCTGTGGGGCGGAGGGTCTCCTGAGTCACTTGCTGCTTCCCATGGGCTCTCTGGGGTGTCCCAGCAGGCTGCTGCAGCTGGAGCCTCCGGTGACCTGGGCCCTGTTATTAGGGCGTGTGTGGGTTGTCTTCAGCATCTGCTTTCAGCTGCCCTGGGATTCTCAGACCCCAATACCCCTCCCTCCTGCTCCTTTGAAGAACCAAATGGGAAAGTGTCAGATGCCCCAGCGCTTTGAGCCAGGTAACCTCGAGTCCATGCTGGGGAGCATCTCTGGATCCTTTCTGCAGAGTTCCTCCAACTCCAGCAGGGAACGAAGTCTGAATTTGGCGTTTCGTTTCTTCCTGTACAGTGCAAAGGAGCCAGGGACCCCTGGTGAAGTGGTAGGATTGAGTATGAATCAGTTCCATCCGAGACTTACTCAGACTGTCTTGAGTGTCTAGGACACAGGCCTGTGTCGCTCTCCCCAGGGTCAAGGGCATTGCCCCCAGCTTTTTTGCACTTCCTCATTCCTGAAGCACATCCTAGGCCTTGCCCAGGACTCATCCCTCCCACTAGAGCATGTCAGAGAGAAGCCCTGGAGGGACAGTGGGGACTCCCCAAGTACTAAAAGCCTCGCATGCACCATTAGGAAGAGTGAGTGGCATCCGCCACTTACAGGTGGGCAGATGCTGCTGGGTTGCAGGTGGCCCAGCAGGCACCGGCCGAGCGGAGCCGGGAGCGCAGATGGCAGAGTGGAGCTTATCCTGGCTGGAGACCCAGCCGCAAACTGGCCATGTTGAGCAGGGGGCCCTTTGTTGGCTGCCTTGGGACAGGACAAGGTCACCCTGGCTTGCCATCCTGCCTCGAACACAGGAGCTGTGAGATCTGCCCCCGGGACACTGGTGACTTTTGAGAGAGATGCAGCCTGCCAGTGCCTGGCCAATGACCTGCCACCCTGTGCGGGTGGAGGGAGTCCTTCCCAGGCTCCCTCTGGACACCCCTTGAAGAAGTGGGGGTGAAGGGGGAGTTCTGTCTGCCAGAGTCTCTTCTTGGAGGAGTAGGTCAGTCTGAGATTTGGCTCAAGTTGACATTGGAAGGGTCCTTCCAGGCCTTCAGCAACAGCCCTGTTTTCTCTCTCTGCCAGGAGACCATGTTTTCTGATTCCATCTTGGCTCCGTCTCACATAGCAACACTGGCCTTTCTCTGTTTGCAACACTTAAAATGGTGCGTGGTCCCTTTTCAAAACCAAATGGTCTCCTCCTAAAATAGTACCACTCAAGGAGAAAGTATCCTTTTTTGGGGGGGGTTGGAAAAGGGAGTAATGAGCCTGCCTGGTGGTGCCACGCGAGCTTTGAATGTTCCTACCTCAGTCAGGTTATCGTAATGTCCGTGCAACATGTTCCCAGTAACTTTACATTTCTGATTTAAGCCTCCCAGCTGCACAGCAAAATACATGGTGTCATCCCATTTTACAGTGGAGAAAACTGAGACTCAGAGATGGTGGCTTCCCCAGGGTCACAGAGCCGAAGCAGACAGCAGCTCACCTCTTTGGACCCAGTCCCGTTGCCCCGGTGACACAGACCTTGCTCTCGGTCTGCAGGCTCTGCTCGCAGGGCGGCCTCCACCGCAGTGCGCAGGGGGGGCGGGGGCGGGGAGTGCCTGTTTGTCAGCCCTGGGAGCTTGACATTTGCAGAGGGCTGGGGCGACACTGCCTGAGCATGGTGTCTGGTGAGTGATCTGTGTTTGCACATCCTGCCTGTCATTAGCTTGATTGACACGCTATCTCTTGTTGCCACTCACTCCTGGGTAGTGAAGCCGACTTTTCTTGGGCACTCCGGTAGTGTTGGATTTAAGTGCCTCTTCCCAAGGACATTTCCCTCCCCTGCCATGGTCTCTGTCTGTTCTTTCAGCATCAGCCACTGTGCCCTGGGGCTGTGGCATCTGCTAATAAGTGGGTCACCGCTGCCATCACTTGAATATTTATTCTTACCAATTCTGGGGCAAAAGGTGGCCTAGAGGCCTTCAGGACCAGTGAGGAGGGAAAATTAACGTGAAGCAACAAGTTTTGGGAGCAGCAGTGAGTTCATAGGACTTAGGGACTCTCGGGGACACTGTGGCACATCTCCAGGAGTGCCACTGATGATGTTTCCTGTGGCAGGGGTGCCCCCAGAGCACAACTCT